TTTTCCGTAGCTGTTGCAACTCCCTTGTCATCAGTGGGCCATCTCTGATGAGAACACTTAATTATCTGATGACCAGGACTGGAGCTGGTGGGACAGAGCCAATAGCTCTGTCTCAGCGTCTCTTTGTGCTTTGCTGTTAACTAATGTTTGCAGTTACGGCCTCTGTTTCTTCCTTCTTTCTGACCCCTTTTGAATGGAGACCTCTTTCACCATGGAGATGTCCCTGCCCCTGTAGTCATCTCATGCCCCCATCAGGACTGACTGGGGGCTGATCTTTGTCGAGAGACAGAATTGGAAGCCAGCCTCTCAGGTGCATCACATGAAACAGACATTAGTCATCCTGGGTCTCTGGAGAACCTTGGGATCCTGATTTTTGGAAGCCCAAGGACACCAGCCCAAAGAAAAACTCTTTCAGGGTGTCTGGAATTAGAGACTGTCATGAAAAGTTCAGGACTTGAAAATCTGTGGGATATTTTAATATGAAGCCTGTTACGGCTTGTATCTAGATGTTCCCCCAAAATGTCATGCACTCCCAGGTGGGGAGATTCCCGAAGGTGGATGGATTGAGGTGTGTGAGAATATGGATTAAGGGTGTGATGCTGGGATTAAAGGTCTGGATAAAGGAAGCCCCACCATGACTGTGAGTGGCATCAATCAATAGGCTTATATCCTGCATGGAATATAAAGGGACAGAAAGCAGCCAGACTGCTGCTTCTGCTGCTGCTTCTCCTGCTTGCTGCCTTCTGCCTGCCTTCCCTGGACTGTTTCTCCTCCGCTGTGCCACCCTGCCTTGGAGCCAGTGGACTATGGGCTGAAACCTCTGCAAACTGAGCTGGAATAAACCTTTCCTCCTAAACTTTGGGCGTGGGGCATTTTGTCTCAGCCAGAAGAAAAATAACTAAGACACCGCCCCTATCCACACAAGAGCCCACATTAGGCTCTTACACTGTTTCCATAGCAGAGTGGGGATTGTGGGGTGCAGGTCCTACAGCTGCCTTGCCCCAGCCTCCTCCTGACCAGGGCAGTTGAGGCAGAAGTGCCAGGGGTACCAGAACCGTGCTCTGCAGTGGGACCAGCTCATGCCACACAAGAGAACTGACCGTTTTGAGGTCACAAGCACAAGCGTCGGAAGTGTCTCTTTGAGCTGAGCCTCATGCCATGCTTGGACACAAAACAGAAAGTCCTCTTGTGAGAGATTCACCCAACAGGCCCATGCTGAGTACCTGCAGTCCAGCTGCTCAGAGCTGGAAACAGAGAGCCTCACCCAGTCCCTCCCATCACGGAGAAGGCGACCTATTTAGCTTTTAGCAAGAGTGAGATCAACTTTGAGTAAGGAGACGCCATGGGAGAAATGTGGCCAGCAAGAATCCCTTTCCTGTGTGTCAGGAGTGGTCGGGGATGGAGCTCACCGTCTGCGCCTCCAGCGAGCGGTAAATCCTTCAGAGAGGCCAAGGATGCCAGGAGCAATAGATATACATTTTTCTGTTACTTAAACTGAAACTGCTAATTGAATCTTTAATTAATGGCTTTAAACTACCTCGGGATACAAAGTGCCAGAGAGTTATTCCAAGTGCTAAATAGGACGATGAAGTCTCAGGAGCGGTCTGCTCCCTGTGCTATCAACTCTGGAACAGGCAGCGACACTCATGCTGTGGGTAAAGTCGTTTCAGAGGCAGCTGGCCAAATGTTTAGCACGGCTCCCTCCCCTTGGTTCACCCAGAGGCCTCTGTTGAAACATTCACCCTTGGTTTACTATCTCCCACCCCAATTGGCCCCTCAGATGTGAAAACCTCTTCCATTGGAGGAGAAGTTGCTCGGTTGTGGGCCCATCTGAGAAACATCTAGCTGATCAAGTGCAGGCTTCAAGCAATTAGGAAACCTCCCTTCTGCGGGTGCATTTTCATCTTCAAAGACTTTGAAGTTATAAAAGAGCAGAGAAAATGACGTCGGGAGGCAGCCAGGCCGAGAGTAAGCTGTGGAAAACATCCACAAAGTGACCGTGGCCCTGTCTCTGCACCCCTGGAGCAGGAACAAGAGGCAGCCTGTTCCCCACTTCATCATCATTTTCCCGCACTAAAGCCGGAGGTAGCCCCGGAAACAGAGCGCCTGGGCGTGGTGGTCAAAGGATCACTCCAGAGAGGTGCAGAGACAGTTGGAGGCTTTCTCTTAAATTCCCACGAAGTCTTCAGAAGTCTGCTTGGAAGGTCTTGGTATTCCAGAATTGTCAGGAGACTTTTATGAGATCATTATCTGGCTGGGTAATGTCTCTTAGATTTAAGCAGAAGGGATTCACATCTGGGAAATTTTTAAATGGCTTTTTTTATGACACAGATGTTCACATCTGCAGGCCCTTCCCTTATGTGGAATTGTTTTCCTTCCCCTTGATAAATGTCCTGGCTCACCCTACAAATTAGTCTGCAGCAGCCTGAGCCAATGTACAACAGATGTAAACTCTCTAGAGGCCACTATTTTTTTTATTTTACCCACTTTATATTCATGTTTGGAAACACTTATTGGCATTTGTGTGAATGAATTCAGAGAATATGTGTGGTCCGCTGAATTTAGCAGAGAGAAGATCACATTATGGAATCGTTTGGGGACCTGTAAATATATAAAACAAAAAGATCGGAAAGCTGAAATACAAAGGCAGTCTTGCAGACTCGATCTTATAATGCATTTAGTTTTCTGGTGCTCCAGACTGGAAAACATAATTGCATTTAAGTCTGCAAGTGGAGAGTGTACAGGCTACAGAGTCTACGGGGGAATGGGTTCCAAGACCCCTGGAGAGACCGAAGTACCAGCATGATCAAGTCCCTTCTATAAATGCATAATATGTCATAGAAACTCCCATATTCCTTAAATCACCTCTAGATTACTTATCAGACAGTGCAGGTGCTATGTCATTGTACTGTTGTTTAGGGAATAATGATGAGAGAAAAAAAAAACCTGTACAGTTTCCTTTTTTCAAATATTTCCCATCTGCAACTGGCGTCATCTGCAGACTCAGAGCCCCTGGAAATGAAAGGCCCACTGTAACCAACCACATTTAGAAAGAGAAGGTGGTGTGGACTCCTAGTGGCCTGCAGAGGGTTGGAAAATGCTGTGTTTGGGCCTTGCCTCTGGGTTTCTGGCACGGCCAAGCCGGGTGGACACAGGCAGCCAGGGCCCAGGGCCCAGGAGCATGCGCAGAGTGAGACAGAAGAGTTCCACGCATGTGCAGAGTCATGGGCTTTTTTCCCTCCCTACTAAGTTCCACCTAAAGATAGCAGAATTTTTCTGATCACCCCCCCAGGCCAGTCAGTTCTCCACGGTCACTGTATGCCTGCTCTATTGTTTCCACTCTGAGTGACCTTCGTTCATCGTGAGACGCTCCCTTGGCCTCCGTTTCCTCAGGTTTAACATGCTGGCCATCAAGCCTTCCCAGACTTGTAAGGAAACACAGGAAGTCACACGGGAACAGATTTGGTCACTGTGTGATCATGGACACCATGGACCTCTCAGGATGACCCTAGGTCTTAGCCTGGTTCTCGTCACTATAACAAAATGCCATTGATAACCAACTTAAAAAGGAGAAAGTTTTATTTGGGCTCACAGTGGCTTCCATCCCTGGTCCATTGCCCTGGGCCCCTTAAGGCCATGCACTGTGGCAGAGAGTGCCCGGTAGAGCACAGTGGTCCCTTTATGGCTGGAGGTGAAAGAGAGAGCAGGGGAGATAAGGGCTGCCGAGAGGCAACACCCCGGTGGCCTGAAACCTCCCCTGTGGTCCAGCGCTTCAAGCTTCTCACACCTCCGTAGAATGCCAAGCCAGAAACTAAGTCTGCATCACACAGGCCTTGGGGATGTTTTATATCCAAGCTCCAGCACCCTGAATCCTGAGGCCACCTTCTCAACAGCCCAGCCCCCCCATCAGCCTGGGCTCTGGAGGCCAAGTTTCAGGGCAGAAGCCAGGCAGCCCCGAGTGTGCCAAACCAGAGCCAAGGGGAGGGGTGTCCGGGCCAAGACTGCTTCCCTGGGACCCTGACATCCCAGGCACCGTGTGACTGTGGGGCTCACGCTTAGGACAGCAGCCCAGCTGAGTCCTCAGGCCCGTCCTGCACAGCGGGCTATTAGCTCATCCTGCAAAGTATTCCTCCCCGCTCTGGAAGCCAGGGGCTAGAGGCTGCCAGAGGGAGAGGCAGTGCGGCCCAGTGGCTACCAGCATGGACTCAACTCCCCACTCTGCCTCTCACAAGCTACTGGGCCTTGTGCAAGTGATTTCAGCCCCCTGTGCCTCTTTTTCCCCATCTGTGCAATGGGGAACAACAGGAGTACCTACCTTGGCCAGTTATTGTAAGAATAAAGTGAGTTAATATGCAGAATGGAATTTTAAAAATGCACTAAATGTTTACATTTAAAAAAATTTTTACATTACCATTAATCCTCCTCAAAATATGCCCCCTCGCTTCATACACACTTATCCCCTCCTTCTTGCCACTTTCAGAAGCAGTTCTGGGAATGCTCTTTTGTGAGTTTCTTTCACTGTACTGTCATGGCTGCCTTAATGTTCTGAATCAATTCAAAACATGTGGACCTTCCACAGTCATTCTGACTTTGGGGAGGAGCCGGAAGTCCCACAGTGCCAAATGAAATGAATAAGGTGGGCGAGGACACGGCCTCGTGTTTGCACAAGGTGCCTTTCTGTTGGATGGCATGCGTCAGCAGCACTCACTGCGTTCTTTATCACACCTTGTAAAGACACTCAGGAAAGAGGACTCCAGAGCTGTTTCAGAAGGTGGCCAGACCCATGGGATCAGTGTGTTCAAGGCAAGGGAGAGTATTATGAGCAGGATTCATAGCAATGTGCCTTTGACCATAATAAATATTTTTAGAAATCTAAACATGCCATGCGTTTGATCACATAGTGTCCATGAAGTTCTGGAAGCCTGGCTTGTCACCATAAAAGGAGGAATTGACAGCTGCTGTCACCTTCTAGGTCTAACCTGTGTATCCCCCGCCCCCAGTGCCTAGCCCGTCTTGTAACGGCTTTGACAACACCCTTTCGAGACCTTGCCGGGTGCCACTAGGAGAGGAGGTCTGCTTCATCGCCACCGTCCGGCTGGCAACACCGCAGTTCTTAAAGGTGCGTCCCCGGCCGAGGAGTCGCTGCTGGGAGTCAGCTTTGGCTCTGTGCCGTTCGTTGTCTGTCATGGGACAGAATTATGTTGCTCTGAAGTTGTCTGTAAAATACACAGTGTTCAGTTCCTGCGCCAGCCACCCCTGCCCTGTCCCATACCTGAGTTTCCTGTAAGTTCTCTTGTGTGAAGGCAGCTCAGCCTGCAGCAGTGCTGGAGGACAGTGCTGTCCCTCCTCCCACCTCTGGCACACAGCGGGGGCATGAGTGAGCCCTGAACGCCAAAAAGCAGAGCATTCCTTGTCTCCCCTCATCTATACTTGCTTTTGTCCCTGGCGTGAGTGTGGATGGAGTTAAATGAGTGATTCGCATTCAGATGAAAAGCTGTTTCCTGTGTGCCACACTCCCAGAAAATGGGAAGGGAGCAGTGTGACATTCTGGCTCCTAGGTATCTTCCCCCAGCTTGGGAAATAAATTTAGTATCAGCTAATACCTAAATTAGCCACAGCTGACGTTTCAGTCCGACGCAACTGGGAGACTGGCAGGGAACGATTCTAGCTTCTGTTCCCCACCAAGTGTTCCCTTCCTTTCGTACTAACTGGGGTGAGCGTCTGGCACCCCAAAGCTACATTATGTTTTCCTCCTCCCAATACAGGAAATGTGCATCGTTGATGAACCTTTAGAGGAATTCACTTCAAGGCACAGCTTGGAATGGAAATTTTTATTTCTGGATCACAGGTTTGTGAAAAGAAAAACATATTTGGGTTGGGTTCTTTTCAAGTGCTGTTTATAGGAGCCAGGCTCCCCTGGGAGGAGAGTCCGGCCTGGCCCGGGACTCAGAAGGACATCCTAGCGTAGGAGCAGTTGTCCCTGGCCAAGGGGAAACAGTTCCCTCCCATGTACCGCCTTATTCTGCACAGGTTCTGTGTTCAGGTTAGGGCCCGGCCTGAGGCATCTCTGGGGTGATCCTCACTGGGGCTCTCTCCCTCCCCAGAAAGGCAGAAGCAGGTGGGAAAGCAGTCTCTGCTCTGGCTTCTCCCAGTTGCTTTTATCTTCTAGCCCCATCTCTCTTCTGTCCTTTATAACACAGATGAAAAGCTGAACATCTCCCCTCCCGACCCTTCCTTGCACTTGGCCATGGGGCTGGCCCCCTGCATAGCGGCTCTTAATGATTCAATAGAAATAAGTTTGCTCTTACTGGGCCCCAGTGAGCGGAGTGTCCCAATAGCCTACGAAGTGGAGCCCTTTGGAAAACATGGTCTCTCCGGGTCTGATCACTGAGATGCGTTTTCCTCCCCTGGTTCTTGGGAGCTGAGGCCCTCTGTGTGGGTTGCAAACCACACGACCGTCCCCCGTGTGTGATACCACAGCCGGCACGGCGAGCCCTGCAGGACTCCTCGGATGACCGGCCCCTTTGTCCTGCAGAGCCCCTCCGATCATAGGATACCTGCCCTTTGAAGTGCTGGGCACCTCGGGCTACGACTACTACCACATCGACGACCTGGAGCTCCTGGCCAGATGCCACCAGCACCGTGAGTACCACGGGCACCGGGCCGGCCCCAGTGTCCCCAGGCTCTGTGCCACCAAGGACTGCACCTCGCCTGTCTCTTCTTGAGCCGAGACTCCGCTTCCTCGGCAGGACAGTGCCCTGGGCAGGGCGCGGAGGTCCAGGCTGCGTGAACATCCTGCTGTATCCTAGAACTGACTTTGCCCGGCCCCCAGCCCCCTCTTAGCGTCATCCATGTGGACATTCCTTAATCCGAATGAGAAACGATGACCATGACGACGCTGGAATGCTTTGTAAAGCCACATGGGGCATTTTATTGTTTTTTTTTTTGTTTTGTTTTGTTTTGTCTTTTTGGTTTTTCTCTGGTACCGGGAACCGAACTCACGACCTTGTGCTGGCCAGGCAGGCGCTTTTGCTGCTAAGCTAAATCCCCAGCCCCAACATGGGGCATTTTAAATGACAAAACGCTGCATCTGCATGCCCGTTCTTTAGCCAGCAGACAGGCAGCGGTCGCTGCGCACAAGCCGGGCCAGGCGCTCAGCTTCTTCCTCTTCGGCTCCCACGCGCCCCCACGACTGGCTCCCGCAGCGCCAGTTTCCCAGCTCGCGGTTCTCCTCTGCGCGAGGCGATACTGATGGGCACGGGCGGTGACTCGCGCTTTGCTGCAGCGACCTCTGCTGGGAAGTGCAGGAACGGGAGGCTTTGTGGGTATATAGGGTGTTGGAGGCTCGGGACCGGCGGTGGGAAAGCCTCCCTCATAGAAAAGAGGACACGCTACCAAACGCAGGGGGCGCAGGGCTCAGGGTGTGGAGGAGCGAGAATGGCACATTTTTCAGTTCTTACTCGAGAGGGGAGTCAAGAATTAACTACTCAGAGCTATGTCTTCAGCCAGGCAGGGTGCTGCACCCCTATAACCCCAGCACTCAGGAGCCTGAGGCAGGAGTTCAAGGCCAGCATAGGCTGCACAGTGAGACCCTGTCTCAAAAAAAAAAAAAAAAAATCAAACAAAAAGCTGTATTTTCAATGCTGACTCTTAGCTCTGAACCAGAATGTATGTGCTACCCCTGGGCTCTGGGTCCCAGCCCTCAAACCCTGGACCCTGGTAATGCTTTGTTCAGAGCCCATTAGGACCTTCCGGTCTGCTGACCTTGTTGATAAGAGAACGGGCTGGAGGTGCAGCTGGCTCAGCGGTCAGGACGTAAGGCTCATCTTTGAAACCTTAACCCCTCGCTCCTACAAGTGTGGTCTGGGGACCAGCTGCGTGGACACTAGGGCTCTGCTAGACTTGTAGGTCAGCTCCCTGGCCCTAGGCCTACAGTCAGAATACCCACTGGCACGAGAATTCTGAGTGATTTGTGTGGACTCACGTTTGAAAAAGCGCACCTGTTTTATGGCAGGGCATGGTGACGCACATTTGTAATCCCAACACTCAGGAGACAGGCAGGAGGATCGCTGTGAGTTTGAGGCCAACCTGGCCTAGATAGTGAGTTCAAACTAACCTGAACTACAGAGCAAAACCCTGTCTCAAAAAACCAAACCAAAAAAATAATCATAACTGCTTTAAATCCATGGCTATGTCTGACTCTTTACAGAGCAGAGCGCTCATGCCAAGGGATTACACTCAGGGAAAAAAATCAGGGCACCCCAGAGAAGCCACACACAGCCCTGGGGCCTGTGGTCAGCTGGGCAGCCTCGGGAGACCCGGGGGTGGAGGCGTCTGAACCAGACTCTTCCACAGCCGTATGGACGGAGTCGGAGTGCTGACGGGAGCCGGCTCCACCCAGCACTTGCCAGCTCTCCGGTCTCTTTCGGGTCCACTTCTCCCGGAGTCCGGATTCTCTCTGCCTTCTGAACCCCTGCAGCGGCACCCCTCAGCCTGAGGAGGAGCCCTTAGAAAACCAGGGCCTCTGTCATTAAACTCCCAGCTGTCCACATCTGCCCTTGTTTGAAGATCTCTTTGAGCGTCTGAGCGTTTGGAAAGTGCACGGCTCGTGCTTCTGTCTGTTAAGAATTCGGTCGTGTTTGGCTGGGGGCGCTGGTCGGGCTAGTGTGCTTGCCTGACCCGCACCAGGCCCCGGGTTCAGTCCCCGGTGCCACAGCAAAGAAGCATCGGTGTCCACCATTGCTCTAACAGCACACAGCCCCGGGCTCTGCCGTTTCCAACATGGAGTCAGCCGTGCCGCGGGGAGAAGTCGGCGCGGCTTAGCGTGTGTCACATGCAGACTCTGTCTTCCGCCCGCAGTGATGCAGTTCGGCAAAGGGAAGTCATGCTGCTACCGGTTTCTGACCAAAGGGCAGCAGTGGATCTGGCTGCAAACCCACTACTACATCACCTACCACCAGTGGAACTCCAAGCCCGAGTTCATCGTGTGCACCCACTCGGTCGTCAGGTACTAGACGGGGCCGGGCCCCGACCACACGGGGTTGCCGGCCGGCTCAGAGCCCCCTGAGCCCCAGGCCTGGCCCAGCCCCCGAGCTCAGCCCCCGCCCAGGTACAGGCGCAGCCCTGTCCAGCCAGGGCGAAGTTTCTTTGGAGTTTCCAACCCAGCCCCTTTGCAGGCCCCGTGAACTCTCCCAAGCTGCCGGGATATTTCTTAGCGAGCTCCTGCTTCCCTGACCTACTTACATATTTTTCCCTCATCTCCTTTCCCTCCCCCGGCCCTCCCTGTCACTGTTTTGAGAAGAAAATTAAAACGCTGCCTCCAAATAACTCAAACACATCCTCCCTTTATTTCTCATGCTTTTAAAACCCCTGCTGTCCACGGAGGACGCGGTGTTCAGAGGAAGCCGGGCTGCCCGTGGCACAAGGTCCCCGTGGTCCCTAGTGGCCGAGCAGAGCTTGGGAGGGAGGCCACAGGCCCAGCGTGTCGTCGTCACCTCCTGCGTGGGGCCCGAGTTCCGGGGTGAATGAGGAAAGTCCTTCTCCCCTCCACCCCATGACAGAGGTGTTAAGAACATAAAGCAGCTTGAAGCTGGTTTCAAAAAGAGCCTTTGAGGAACACAAAGAGAAAAGGGCTAGAAGGGCGCAGGTCCCAGCCAGCCCTGCACGGCCTCTGGCTTTTGCATCCATGAATGTGGCCAGCTGTGGGTTGGAAATGTTTTTTTCGGTTTTGGTTTTTTCTTGAAGAGGGGGCGTACCAGGAATCAAACTCAGGACCTTGTGCTTGACAGGCAGGTGCTGTGCCACTGAGCTATCTCCCCGGCCCTGAAATGCTTTTAAGAATTGCATTTGTATGGAACACATAGGATATTTTTTCTTATCACTGCGGTTCCCTAGACAGTACAACACACCAGCTGTGGATAAGTGTCTACATTATATCAGGGATCCAAGTTCCCAGCCTGCCCTGGAGACCTTGGCAGTCGACTTCCTGGCCGCCTGCCCACAGCGTTAGGCCTGGGTGTTCCCCAGGGGCCCTGAATGCCCAGAGAAGGCTGGGCCCCTCCCCCTTGAGCCTGGGGCTCTTCCCCTCTGACCTCGAAAATCCCAGAGAGCGCCTCTAGAGACACAGGGCGGGAGCTTGTGAGTGAACAAGGTGACGGCATCCTGTGACCCTGGAGCCTGGTCGCTCTGCCCTGCCCTCGCCCGAGGCTGAGAGGGGAGGGCCACCCGTCACTGACTAGTTCCCTCGGTATGGTGAGTTCTAGGTGTGTTTGAGAGAAACCTTTTAAGAAATGTAACATGTAATTGCTCAAGGAGTTTTGAGTCCAGGCTGGACAGCTGTCAGGAGCAGCTTCTACTTATGTGGAGGCAGAAGCCTGTGCAGCAGATGAAACTGCGTTTCTAAAGATGATCGAAGGGGCTGGGGATTTAGCTCAGCGGCAAAAG